TTGGGGGGGGGGGGGGGGGGGGGGGGGGTCCATGAAAAAAGCCATCAGAAATTAAAATTTTTTTTGGCAGTTTTTCATAATACAATCCAAACGTCTCCCTCGAGACTTTATAACCCCCTCCCCCTCGAAGCTCAATGGCACCATGAATCTTTGGCTTCAATAATTGTTATTGACAATCTTCAAGTAATTAACGCCATCCGCGTCTCGGCGATATCGATGACCTCGTTGAGATAACTGCAAAAATATTAACTGATGATAGGTTGTGTTGTACGACAAAATTTTTTTATTTTTTACTCACCACCATTTTTTATCCATCTGGTTTTGTTCCTCGAGCTGGCTTCAGGAGGATATTCATCGAGAAATCCATATCCGGTCTGGTTCGCACTGTCTGAGTCTGGTCTAGCCTGCTATTATTTAACTTTTTTTTTTTCTTCCCCCTTCACGACGCTGTTACCTCGCAGTTCCACCCGAGCGATTTCTCTTGGTCTCCACGTGTTTAATTGCGTTGGTTATTGCTCGTCATAGGGAAAAAAAAAAATTTTATCGCACCTGTAGGATCGTACCGTAACAACAATTGTGAAACATTTCTCCCTGGAACAGTATTAAAAATGTTGTTTTTTTTTTTTCATACAATTTTACCAATTAACCTTATCCGCTTTGATCTTCTCAGTACCCAAAGTCACGGTCGTCATGCAGAAAATATATAATGACATCCTGACTTAACCCGAGCACCCGGGCACAGTCGTGACGTTTATACGTGTATTATTAACGTACAACGCACCTTCGCGTCTCGCAGAAGCAACGGACACGCGTTCCACGCGTATTTTCCGTATCTTTACGAAGTTTAACGAAGGTGGCCGACCGCAGCCTCGCTCGCTCGCCCTATCGCCGCCAGACGGCTTCCGTCTGGGTAAACACCCACACGAGGCATCCACACGGGGTTACCGACTAGCCAGGGACATCCATCACAGGATTATCATACAACCATGTATGTGAATCTGTGTATCCTACCTATCGTATCTCATAGTGCTGGTATACCTATAGCCAGATGTTTATATATATATATACGTGAGTATATATTATATAGACAAAAGTGATGCAGACGACCTGCCCGTCGTCGAGAAGCGCGAGTCGCTTTGCTGCAGTCTGCAACTCGTTCTATCTAGTATAGTCTAGAGAGTCCGGAGAGAGAGAGAGAGAGAGTGAGTGAGAGAGAGAGAGGGGGGGGAGAGAGAGGAGAGAGAGTGAGAGAGGAGAGAGAGAGAGAGAGTGAGAGAGAGTGAGTCTAGACGACCAAACATTAATTAATGCTGTGCAAACACACGGGAATCGCGCGCGCGTTAATAACGATGCAGGTGCATGTGCACTGAACGTCGGCGAAGTGATTGGTCGTTATTCATAAGTAGAAAAAAAATATTGGATGGTGAAGGCTAGTAGTTATGAAAAAAAAAGAGAGTAAATTTTTTTCTCGAATTTTCAAAATTTTTTCGATCTATGAAACAGTTGGCCCCTTTTCACATCGAGCGCGATTAAAACTTTTTATTTTAAGCCAATGGGCGTCGCTGCTACGTCCCGCCATATTCAACCTGTCAATGCCGACACGTTGCGCGTTTGTCCCGCTGTGTGTCTCTGCGTGTCTCTCCAAACGAATCCGCAGTCCCGTCGGCGTCGGACGTACCAAACCGGGACAAACTTTCAAACTGGCACAACCCGTCTGGGACACCCACTCCACAATGGGAAGGAATTCCTATGAATTCTCAATATGTTTGTCTGCGGCAGACTCTCGATGCCTATACCTGTGTATACCTATATATATATATATCGACTATACTTATGTACAGTTTATTAAATTATAATTTCCCAGAGGGTGAAATCCAAACCAAGAGGACATTTCGCCTGTACGACGTATCATTTGAAGTCTAACCTAAAAATTAATTTATCCGTGCTCACGTATGTTGTCTTAATTTTTGATGCGGGCGTTTTATTAATTATACAGAAATGCCAATTCATCGTGGCGTCATCCGTCTTTCATACTGCGAATTCAAACCGTCGCTACTTCGTCAACGAGCGCTAATAATATTGCGTCGTGCACGGCTGTGATACGTAATACGTTATACGTGTACGAAAGATACGCACGCTTTGTAGTACGTGTAAGCGTAGTCCTGTGTCTCCGTAGCTAATCGGTAATCGCAGTGCATTGCCACCGCCTGGCCGTCTAGTCGTTCTGGCCTATTTGCCTATTTTCTACCCTCGTCACTTTAAACCGGCAGACCCCGAGTGGGAGGAGAAGGTAACCGGAGGTGTTGAGGGACGAGGGAATCAGAATACCCGAAAACGATCATTGGCCAGACAATCCCGTACCGGCTGGAAGCGTCGTTTATTATATCTCGTGTCCATTGGAAGTCGTCGTTCTCTTGTGCAGTTTGTTATTAGTTAGTCTATCGGCTATCGATGGGATCTGGGCTGGTTGAAAATTGTCTTTATGAATTTTCATTGGAATAGCAGCGCTCGGATTTTTATTAGAGTTTTATTGTTTTTTTCTATTATAACTGATGGTCGATCTTATCTCTATTAGTGATTTTATTTCGTTACTCTATGATGCAGTTGTTTATTTAAACACTTGCTTGTCCAACTCTTTCTATTGTTTGGTTTGTAGGTTAGCACGCGTTGCGCAATCGGTTTTTTTCCAGGGGAACAGACGTTCGCGCGTTATTCTCCAGCCTTCGTATTTTTCTGTGGCTCGAGAAAGGCTACGGGAGACATAGACAACGGCATTAAGTGGTCTAGACAGTCAGACAGATGCATCACCATTACGAAAGCTTGAAACTCGTGGGCGTTGACTCCTTAACTTGTCGTATACTTGTCAATAAAAAGATCGTTATGCGGTCTGGACGCTTGGGCATCTTGCAACGTCACGATCCGATTCTCAAATCATTTTAATAGATAAAAATGACGAGAACGAAGGTTTATTCGTTAGTTCGTTAAAGGCTGACGCGACCGAGTCACGTAAGAATTGACGGTCAAAGAGCCGAGCGTTGTGATTTTCATGTATTCGAACAATACGAGCGAAGCGCCCTTTAACGAACCTGGCGGAATTTACAGTAAGCTCTCGAGTCAAGATGGCGGAATAGGAAACTTTCAGGGCTGTCTGCCTTTTTCAGCAAAGTAAGTCAAGTGTCCGGAGTTTCTGTGATGACGGCGGATTCTCATTTGTATATGTATACACGGCAGCAGCCGGGTAGACACTTGGCCTAAATACGGAGAGAAGGATATACATCGAGCGGCTGTAATGGCGGCGACGTCGGCGCGACCGAAAAGTTCAAGCGCTTTCGGAGCTTTTAGTGATAAGACAAAGAGAGAATGGATTTCCTCTCATCCCTGAGTCAAGGCAAAAGTTCACCGTCTGTGTCTGGGATTACCTCTGAATCTCGACTGGCTGGATGTGGCATTGTTCATACCTGTCCATGCGACCAAAGGATTTGCTGGAGCGATTCAAATCTAGTTTCGTTCCTCGCCGCATGGCGGCGCTGCTGTACTTGGCGGGTATTAACCGTCGTTTGCAAATGCTAAGGATAATCCGTGCGCGCTGTCTACCTGGTCAATAAAATATGTCTTTTCACAAAGAGATTTCTTTTTAGTCGGGTCTATAGGTTATGTATCCTTGACACAGTGGATACAATATATATATATATATATATTAAATACTTATTATGTGAATAGACTGATTTAAATCTTACTTGAGGGTATGACATGCTTATTAAGATGTTCTCCCTTGTATTTTCTCTGCTGGCTTATATAAGCATGGTTTAATTTATGACGGGTGGCTGAGTGAAACGCCAGATCGTCTGCGGGTTTGGCTTTTGTTCGTGCCACTTGGTGAAAACTTTTGACCAAATCATAACCAAGCTTGGCTTTGCTCTCGGGGTAGACTTTGTTCAAGTGGTTGCGATAACTACATAAATTCTGCGGTTAATCTGCGATCTACCCTGGCTTTAAAAGGAACTCGAGGAACCCCGACGGACCTGGCCAGACAGTCAGAGATACATACGCGAAACTTTGATTGCCCTACCTTTTACCAGCATACGGCGTAGACACTTATCGCGTCTGGCTCCCAAGAAGAGGATTTGCATAGATACCCCGAGGAGGTGGCATTACATTTTTTTTTTTCAAAATCCCTTTGTCTTGTCTTCCTACGATTATATACTTATTAATTTTACTTATAATTTTAAAACAAATTTTTCTTTTTTTTTATCGACTTACAAAGTAACTCATACTTGCGTTGTCGAGTTAACGTATTTTTTTTTAAATCTGATTGGTTCATTTCTGTTTCAGGTACCGCTGAGAGCCAATCACAATAAGGTTGGCTTTGGCGCTTCCGAGACCACTACCGTCGAAGTGGATCCCAGCACAGAAAGGAGACAAGCTGTCTGGCGGAAAACACAGCAACGCTATGAAAAGATACCAGATTGAGTTGCGTTAACATTGACAGCCAATAGCTCGTAAAGAGAGAAAAAAAAACCTGAACGCTCGTCAACGTTATTAGTTCTTGTTGACGACGTAGATCATAGTGTTATTTGTATATTTATATATCTTAAGCGTTCGACGATTTACATTTATTCACGTGTTCCGTGTATATCCCATATTTTGGATACACCGAGTTTACTTGCTATCTCGGATTTGATGTACGAGAAGAAAAGTAAATCAATTAAATTATACATTCCTGGGTATTCATCCATTGAAATATTTGTATATAATAACGTTACTCGCTTATAAGGAAAAAGCGGGAAAAAAGAGTCTCTATTAAAACCACTATAAAAGCAATGACTCTCACGAATCCTCAAGAATGCCTAGTATCCGGTGTACTCGGGCACCGAGAAAGAAGAACCGTGAAAATCAGTAGTGGGTTACGTTAGGCGTGACTCCAGACGATATTTATAAAGTTAAAAACCAGAGGCCAAAGACCTCTCCGAGAGCGCTGAGAAAATCGTAAGCCGTAATAAAAACTAGGCAGTACCTCAACCTCAAAACATTCGGTACTTGCTCACGTTCCGGTACTTAACAATAAACTCGAGAGCGTCCCTGTGATACGAGTCTATGGACGTCGAAAAAGCTTTAAACAATCCCCAGCCAATCGAGCGCTATCATGAATTTCCCGAAAAAAATCTTCAAATCGTCTTCGAGATTTTTCCCCGGGGTCCCATCAGTTTGAACCAGTCACTTGAAGCTAGATAAAAAAAATTGCTTGGTAAACTTCCCATGTAGTCTCATGGTGCTCATCTAATTCGCCTTTCGTTTTCAATCTGACTGAGCTTGCATTAGTGCGTCTGCAAAGAACTAAAAACATAGCAGTAGTAGCTTGTAGTCGAACAAACAGTGTACGAGTGTCTCGGACGCAAAGAAATAAATTAGGCACTCAACGAATTTCAGTAATGTTACGTATGTGGCGCCCTCTGGCCGGATATGCACTGCATACGTATTACAAATGTGAACAGTGTGTTGCGCAGGTGCAGAGGAGTGCGTGTAATGCGTGATTACGGGTGAGTGATGCGTGGGTGAGGTTAGTGTTGGATTGTAGGTGGATCTGAAGGAGTGTTGGGTTAAGTGAGAGGATTTTTGAGGGACGGGGGGGTTGAAGAGGGGCGGGGAGTCGAAACGATCCCGCTCGGATTTACGGAGGTTATTAATCGAGCTGTAAATTACTGTAATTTATGACGTAGAGGTTATGAATGTGCTGTAATGACACAGGTATTCTTGAGCTTTCGCTTATGTATCAACGTATCGCGCCGCGAGATGGCAGCACCGTCGCAACGGTCCTTGACGGGATTTTAAAAAAATTGTCGCGCGACGAACGGATATTTTGTTGAAGTTATATTTCTGCCTGCCGCACGGAATGCCGGGTAGGCGTCCCGACGCCGAAATGAGTTTATCGCAGCACCGCGGGAGCATCGGGCGGCTTATTTAAAACGTTATAAAATACACTAGGAATGCCGTGCTGCTGTCGAATGCAGAGACTCATGCTGTAAAGTCATGGCGGGTACTGCTGGTAGCCATCTGGTGGTGTATTTTGGTAATTTTTTTGGTTGGTTTTCTAGTCGATGCAAAAATGGCGGCTGTTGACGCGGGCAATAGGAATTATAGGTTGGACAGAGAGGGACAACGAATTGTGTAAAAAAGCAGTTTAAAAAAGAAATTCTTTCATTTGATTCTAGACTGTCTCGACTGACTCATCCCTTATGTTTCTTTTATTCTCTCGCTCCTTATAGCCTCTCTCGATTTCGTGTCTCGCGGAACGGTATCACTTTTATAAGGCCCATAAAGTTCGCGAGATGGGACCCAGACGTTCGAGCAGTCTCGCCCGGGCCAGAACGGCGGTATTAGGCGACCCTGGATATAAAATGGACTTTTTATCACGGCTAACAGCGAATTAGTCAGTGACATTTTTTGGCGATTTCACCCGCTTGTTCTTTTTTTTTTTACTCTCAAGTCTCTAATATATGGCGGAGAAGTTACTATGAGTCCGTCATTCCGTTATGTTACTACGGAATAGTCTAACGTGTTTAGCTGGTTAATCATGAATATTCAAACTTGTCGCTCGTTCTGTAATTTGAAACGTATTGAGGAAAAAATTGCAGCAAAGAGAAATGAAAAACAGTGCATCGAAGGAGAATCGAACGGTACCATGCAGATGCATGTGTAACCAGTCAAATTGCATAGCAACAAGAGTTTGCTTGGAAAGATTTCCTGGTATACGAAAGGAGGATCGTGCGTGATGTTGACAGTCTTGTTGAGGAAAGATCCAGTGAATATGATACAAAAAAAAATTGAATAAGTGGTACCCACTTGTAGTATTTGTTACAAAAGTTTCTTTTGTAAGTATGCAATATGTATGAGTGCACAAATTCCAGAGTTGAATCCAGATTTGAAAAAGGGATGAAAATTTTCAAAGTTCCAATTGATCATTGGTCCCAATTTCAATATCAGCTTACTACCTAATCTACTTCCTAGTCATAACCAAAGGGGTCCATCAGTTCTCAAAGTTCTCCCCCTCAGATCAGCAGACTTTAATACTGTCAATGAAATGATGGCAAAACGTAGCCTCAAGTCACTGTAAGGCCCAATAAATAAAACATAGGGCCCATACTGTTAAACAGGATTGAAAAATAAAGGGACCCATGCACCGGTCCTAACCATTCGTTGACCACCAATAATAAGTCCGCGTGCCGTCCAGCCAAGGTGCATCAAGGCCAGACAGGGCCTGTCCGCCTAATAAAGGGGCCCCCAAAAAATGGCTGACAGAGGACAAATGAGGCCCATTTGTTAGCGCCGGGTTGGCTCGCGTTAGATCCGCAGATTTCTCTGGGCCCATACTTCCTCCCTCGTCGCTCTCACGAACAAACATATCTAAATAATGTAACCGAACGTTGGGGCCTTATGGGACCAGCGCCTCAACTGATCCTTCACTTTTTGTTCCTACTTTTCTCCGTGTTTTCTTTATCCTCCCTACTGCCTTTTCGATAATAGTTTATTTCATTTCTTTCCATTTTCAGACTGTGGCAAAAATCTTTTATTTTTATATCCTAACCTATCTGCCTGCTTCATTGGAGTTTGCTGGTCCATCCTTTCAGACTTTTACAGCAGCCACCCACTCAGTCTGACTGACTGATTGTCTGTCTGACTGACTATCCGTCTGTTTCTACTTTGGGCCTGACAAACACATCGATTTCTATGGTTAACCTTCAGACAGTCAAACCAGCCACAATTTCCGTCAAATGGTTAAGACCAATGAGTCACGTACTTTTCATCTAAATGGTAAGAAAAAAGATTTTACCACCTTCGTTCAGCCTCTTACGTTAATTAATTTCATTTACTAAATTACATTTAGTACTTACATCTACTTCTAATTAACCCCAATAATTGCAGTGTAGAGTTCGCTCATCACAGGACGTCCATCTCGATCATATACTTTTGTCCTCCAATTAAACCAGAAGGTACAGCCGATCGATTCAATCGACAATCGAACTTCAATTGATCACGTATCAATTAACGTTGCGCTCCAGATAGAAATGGTATTCGTGGATGCTGCGTAAGCAGCACTCCTACCATGTACGTATATCTATATAAATACAATTAACTTGCATTCATCCATCCGTTCTGTTATCCAGTCCATCGACGCTGGTTCATTTCCGTGCCCGGAAATGCATAATTGAAATACGAAGATCGTAAATAACGAGGTTAATTATTTCTAGTATCCAATTTCCGGCCGCGAGGCACAAAGGCGCCAATCCGTGAATTCTCGTACGCAGGTTAAACGAGGACGCTCCGCGTCCGACAAACAGACCAAACGAACCACCAGACTATGAGAAATAAAGAACGTAAACCAAGAATGAAAAAAAATGGCGACACGTAAATACCCTCATGCTTATCACAATTTCCATCCTTGTCACTGACTAACCGTTAGCTCTGCTTCCGTGTCGATTACGTCGCTATGCACGAATAACATGAAATATCATCCACACCGTAGTCCTCCCATCCACATAAACACTGATAGTAAGCGAGCCACAAATTTATCAGCATATCAGTGAACCACGTATGATTTCATATACGTACATACAGACACGTGTAAATACGTAGAGCAGCGTTCACCGTTCGACGAACCGGTTGTCACGTGGTTCTCGTTATCGACGAGTGGCATCTAGCGGGGAGTCGTCGAACTAGAAAGACAGCAAGTGAGAGTTGGCGGGTAATTTTGAAATAGGAAAGAAGGCAAAATTATACATCAAAGGATCCTTCGATTAGATCCAACTGGAAAATCTTTCAATTATCTCTTCTCACTTCGGTACTCGCTTCACCGGGTAAACACGCCTGTTGGAATCCGCACTGAATTATTCGCTATTTTCAAACTTTGTCCATCCAACAACATTCTAATAGACAAGAATGCGCGGCTCGTAATTGAAGGCTAGGAATGCGGACGCACGCATGAAGTAACAAGCTGGCAGACAGTGGATAACGTGGTCCGTGTATTACTGCTACTATGCATATATATATATATACATATGTAGTTAAATGCGTACGTTATATATACATATGTGGTAACGAGATGGCGAAGTATGTATAGCCCAATTATACGTTCTCTGTTATTTAATAAAACCCCTCACGACTAGACGAGATTGGTCCTAAAGCTATACTGAACGAAACTGCCATTTAATCTGGGCCAAGTGGTCCTTCCTGTTTTTTTACAACATATAACATGGCTGCGGATAGCGTACGTCAATGGACGCCTCTTGGGTTACGTTATCACACCCGGTAGACAGCGATCAGATTTTTAATCGTTTCTTAATCGATATTCGGATATCGATATACTTTCGAAATTATCGCCCGAAGCCTTTTATACGTAGTGTATATATGTATATATATGCTTACCACTTTTCTTAGCCCGAGGGAATTGTCTATGATAAAAGGACGTGCTTCGATATTCTTTGCTCAATATTCATACTCTCTTAAAGATACGTATGCCTTTATGTTGCATTAATTTATTTTTTCCTTGTCTTTCTTGCTTTCGTTCTTGGCTACTGCGTCGAGCTGAAATTCGTCCTACCGATCCTCGTAATAAGTTAATGCGTTTCGTCTGGCGTGTGAGACTCGTCCTGATCGACCAGTAACGATTAGCGAACCAGACTGGACGGACGACGTCCTTACGACGTCAGGACAAGAATATCTCCAGACAAGGATGAATCTTTCTTTTTCTCTTATACTCTTAGCAGCTCCGTATTTCGTACGTTTATATTCTCGGCCGTTGTAATTGGGTTATGCAAGTCTGACGAGGGGATTAAAGAAACAAGAATACCGTCCGAGCTCCTTGACGCCATTGCTGAATCAATAAAATGGCGGACGTCGAGAAGTGCAATTTTTTAAATATTAGTCAACTTTTCATTCGTGATTCGTTGAATTTTACAAAATTAAGCAATTCGCCTGATGGCTTGTCGACTTTTTGACACGTCATTGTTTTTGTTAATTGGACTTTTAGTATCACTGTTGTCACTGTTGCTATTTGTAGCGGTACTACTATCTATCTCTTGCTATCTAATTATTTAGCAATTTAAAAAAAAATTTTAATTCAACCACACACGAACCCATTACTCTAACATACGTGTGCTAGGATGTTACATACCCGCTTGTTTATGCGTCGAGTTCATACACCTCTGATTAAGCATGCACGTATAGCATAGGTAAGCAATTATTGCGGGCATTCCGAGCAGCGGCAGACGGGCGTCGAGACGCACAAGGCCATCGGGCTCTGAGTCCGCCACGTGCTATGCAATAAAACCGCGGGAAATACTGCAGTGCTCATCTGTTTCGAAATAATGATTAAAGCTCAATTTAAGAAATCAAACGACACATTGGACCCCGATATTTGTAATTCAAGTCAAAATATATTTTTAAGCCTCATTTTTATTTATAAAAAGAAAAAGGATTGTTTATCGTGCAAACATCAAGTCAAATCGACTGGCTGATCTTTATTTTCAATATAAATTTGTATGTATATCGACGCCAACTTGATTCAAGTATTACTCGCAAACGGGACTGTTGTACCTTAAGATATCCAAGATGGCCGCCGCTGTCATTTCGATGAATTCATGGGGACTGCCGGTCGTCTCGTCGTCTTGTCCTTGCTATAATCATCGTCATCGTATATATTGTTGTGTCTCTGAGCTCGTTGCTGCTATTGTATTTCACAATAAAAGTAGTCGCGGCAAATATTACAGTGACTGTGTCGGTCTGCGTAGCCAGACACCATTTATTTCTACAAAATTCTATACCTGTATCTGTGGAATAAGGAATTCGATCGACTTGTAATCGCGCGCGTCGTCCGTTGTGAATAAATATTTAATGCGCCGGTGAACGAGCTGTGTCTTTGTCAGCAGACTACGAGACACAACAAACCTTCACTGTTTGATCATCGAGACGTCCCGCGTCGTTGGCGTATTGCGAAAACTCGGCACGAGACTGCTGATTAGGTTTCTCGTAACGTTTGCTAGTTACATAATTGTTATTATAACAACAATGATCCACACAACGAACTAATTTTGTACCACCATGCGATAGCTCTATATTCGCAGAAGCAAATACGTAATATCTAGAATGTAATACATAATGATTAATCGTATTTATTCGTTGGGATATCGATTACGTTGCAAGGTACGTTATTGCTTTTTTTTGGTTATTGTTCATTGGATTTTAGTGGGCTTTTTTTTCAGGGTACGATAAAGGCATGACGAACCATACACGTAGATCCGTTCAGTTGTCACTGATTGTCAATAGAGGCTGACTGTTATTTGCGAATCAGGTAAATTTTAAAAATACATGATTTTTGGAATTCATGACAATTTTGTGATGGGGGGGGGG